ATCACCGGCTGCCCTCTTTCTGCTGGATCCATCCTTGGTGCCGTCTCGCTGTTTCCCGGCGGTGCTGTACGTAAAGAAGCAGCGTGACAGCTACACCCTCCACATCCTGCCTCCGTCTCGCCGTCTTCATTCTCATGTGGGACGCCGAGCTCGCCTCCTGCACAGACATCATCCAATATCCTGTCAATATCTGAGCTACAGACATGACAACAGCCTCTGCTTTCCGTCTCTGATGCGTCTGATAGTGGCTGCAGCGTCTGGAGGCGCACAACCTTCACACTGTTCGTCACGAATACTTTCTTCATGCTTTACAACGTCTTAATATCTGGAGTACACGTTTTCCTCGGGAGGAAAGATAAAAAGGCCGACACAGGCTCTTTTATCTGAGGAAAAAGTGGTCTAAATTTTATTAAAATGCATCAAATGTAGTGCAGCTCAAGTTGAATTAAAATATTCCTCTGCTGGCAAAATCAGGTTGTACAGTCGTCTTTTAAGACTGCAAAGGGGGAAAAGAAAAGCGCTTTTCTTCAAATACGCAGTGCCACGTCTGAACTACAAAACTTTTTCATCTATATCTTTTTTTTTTTCTTTTCTTTCCTATTTCACCCCAAAAGCACCAAAGAATCCACCAGGGCAGCGGTTACAGGACAGAGCCGAGTTTCAATATAAAGCTGCAGTGTCAGAGAGGAGATGAGAGGGAGGGACGGAGATGATTACAGGACAAGAAGAAGGAAAGTAGAAATTAGAAAGAAAAGAGAGCGACGTGAACGGAGGGAAGATGTCGGAGGAGCGAAGATCTGACGGCGTGAATGCATGATGTTAAATGTTGCTTCGGGTTAAAGCGAATTGACGACGGAGCGTTTGAAAGGCTGGAAAATAAAAAAGATGTCAAGGATTCCAACTAAGATTTGAATGTCTGTAACAGCAGCTCAGTATGTAGAGACTAAAACAGGCCCTTTTAGCTCAGTCCTCTGGTGTTTACATCTCCTATAGAGCGTCCGTCATTCATTGGTGCGATTTAAATTTTTTGTTTTACTTTCAGAACTAAAATTTTACCTCCTACATTTTGCCTTTCTCACGCCAGAACATACCGTCTGCTCTGGAGGAAGATTTGTTGACGTGCTTGTTTGTCTGCTGCAGCGTCGTCTCATGATTTCTTGACTGTGGACTGTCATGTGTCATTTCATGCCCGAGCTCTCTAAAAGCGTCACCGGGCTTCAGAGTGTGTGTTTGTGTGTGTGTGTGTGTCTTTGCCAGCTTGATTTGTTTGCAAGCGTTTCGTCAGCGTGTGCGTCTTTGTCTGAGCTTGCATGTGTGTGTGTGTGTGTGCCACATTAGTGTAGTTTCAGTAGCCGAGCAGCTGAATGAAAATCTCACCCATGAACCTCTCTCTCATTCTCCCCAGAGGTTTTTTTTCACAGTGTAAAAACCTGACACACATTGTAATGTTATCACCCACTCACTCAGCGCTGGGGGGTGGAGGAGGGTGGTGGAGTGATAGAAACAGAGAGGTGGTGGGAAATGCATGAAAAAGACCAGAGCACCGAGCGGAGAAGGATGCAAACAGGAAGGAAAATAAGGGAGGAAAAAGGACAGCATGCAGACGTCAGGTGGACAAGGTTTGCAAATCATGTCGTGTGCTTTTTAACATCTGTCCCGCTGATGGGTGCTGCAGAGTGTGGATGTGTGCATGCCTACGTATAGTCCTCAGCAGGCAGCAGAGCAGAGCATCAGGGTTTTGTCAGCGTGCCAATCACAACACAGATAATCTGCAGAGAGAAAGTCAGGCTTAGATACTGTAGAGCTTAATGGTACAAGGAGACTTAAATGTCAGTCCATTTTTTCCTGTGATACACGTGTATAAGTCGAGGCTTTCGCTATAGGGTTTAGTGTCTTCTAGGATGTGGTGATTGTGCTATAAAAGCAATACTTTATTAAATGGGCTCTTAATTTTATTTCCAGGAACAGTAAAGGGAAAATGTAGACAAAGCTCTGAGACTCTTTTAAATTATTTAGCTGCGTTGGGTGGATAAGCAGTTGTGGATTTGCTCCAATTAAACCCAAGTAATAAAAATTACTACATGTTCAGCTGACCGCAGATTAAAATAAGTAAGTTTGCCATTTTTGTACTGCACATTATAATAGCTCCCAAAAATAAAGTGTTATTTGTTTAGGTAAATCTAAAAGTGTTTGTTTTTTTAATGAATAGTTTAGTATTTTGGGGAAATAGCCTTATTCACTGTATTGTAGAGAGTTGGACAAAAAGATTGATACCATACATGGCAAGGCTACAGCTAGTAGCCGGTTAGGTTAGCTTAGCTTAGCTTAGCATAAAGACAAGAAGCAGGCTAAGCTAGCCTTGTTCAGTTTGAATGTTACAAAAAAATCTTGCCTGTTTTTGTTTTTACAGATTAAACAAACAAGGTATAAGATGCTAATTAGTCAGCTTTAGAGATGCTGGTAGGAGGAGACATGCTGCCAGTCTTATGCTAAGCTAGCCTAATTATTTACTGCAGCTTCACCTATAGGACAAAAATTAGCTGTCGAGCTGCACACAGAACATAGTCCTTATTCTTTTAACAGAATATTGTAAAGCAGTACACATCTTATTCTTCCTAATAAGCCATCATGCTCACTGAAAATAGTTCCTAAATCACCGGTAGCTACCCCAAGACAGTGTTATTGTATTTATATATTTAGCATTTCCAAGTGCTGGGTATCAATATTTTTTTCTGAGGGTTTTTTTCTTTTTTTAATTCTGTATTGCCCATAGCGCTTCACAAGTACTTTTTGTCAGATCTCACCTGGTGTTAAAATTCACAGTTACATTTACAGGTTCTGTAGGATCTATGTATATTTATATATATTTATATATATGTTCTGTATATACACAGTGTTCCTGCAGCTGGGCTTCTCTCTGGTCTTAGAAGACATTACCAGAAGTCAAGTCATGTTAATTGAGTAGCATCCTCTCGCTACGTTTAATTTCCACAATCAAAAAATAACAAAGATGTGCTTCCTTTGCACTTGTGACAGACATATATATTTTCAATCTTGCTTGCACTCCCGTTAAACATTTATACGAACAGCGAGTTTTAAAGTCTGATTTTTCTAAAGAGCTCGTTGTTGTTGCTGCTCAGAGTCCGACACGAGGCTCACTCACTGCAACCAGAGCTATAGGCTCACATTTGTTCCTTTGTGGAGTAATGGTTTGCCTTTTATTGCGTTCTCCTCGCTTGCTCTCACACCATGCCTCCCTCCCAGTTTGGTGAATTTCATTCTCAGTGTGTATGCTATCCTGAGCAGCAGGCCTCCGCGATGACTGAAGCAGCTCGACAACATTGTGTACGAGAATAGCGCTCAGGTTTCACAGCACACCGCTGCTGAATGAGGAATAAAAAGGGTCTGAGGCAAATACGCAGCCTGTCGGCTCCGAGTTCATCGGGTCTTTGAGATTCTAGGCCAGCGTCGTGTTGTTTCGCTTTCTCTACACTTCAAGCAAAACAATTTAGCTGCGTTTTTATTGGTTGGTTGGCTTTGTGTTAGGAAGTGCAGCAGTTGCCGAATCTGTTTACCATTTTTATGATGAAAGCTGAGAGAAGACAAAGAGGCTGGGACTATCCAAATCCCTAAAGCCTCTTCTGTGGGAAAGCCCGGCCGATCCCCCCTTCTCCTGCCTGGTCCAAAGATCTGAGCTGTGATTCCCTCTGGCTGGATTTTATAGAGACACGGAAAGCTCTATTACACCAAAGCTTTTCCCTGACAAGCCAAATGACATGATAACAGATGACATTCTGCACTATAACTGGTACAGAGATTTCTCTTTCTCTGCTTTTATGCCCTTTTACAAACGTCTTTCCCGAAGCGTCTCTGGATACGTTATTTGCTGGTTTTTGTTCTCTGTAGCTTTCATACGAAGCTGTATCTTGATGACATTTGAGTGTTGTAGGTCACGTAGAACAGGTTATATTTTATTTTACTTCTACTGAGTCTGTTTAAAATGCTTTTCAAATACAATGCTATGAACTCACAGCTAACACGGGGGTTTACACTGTAGTTCTGGTGGCCCTGCGCTGCTCTGGTGGGCCACATGGACCCTGGTAATGACTGAGCTTCAGAGCTGGTGGAAAGCATATACGTTTAAACAGCGTCAATTAACCTTTGAAGCATCTCTATATGGTGTTATTTATACGCTAGAAGATGCATCATCTAGAAACTGTGCACCGTGACGTTATATCTTATCATTTTAAGGCAGGATGGGATTTGTTTCATGGGAAAGAAAAACCTAAATATGTACTTTTGACACACAGAGATGAGTTTTGAGGCGTTTAATGAAGAACCCAGGGCTGCACGGTGGATCAGTGGTGAGCACCGTTGCCTCGCAGCTAGAAGGTCGCCGGTTCACGTCCCGGTGAGGACACCCGGGATCTTTCTGCGTGGAGTCTCCATGTTCTCCCCGTGCAGCGTGGGTTCTCTCCGGGTTCTCCGGCTTCCTCCCACAGTCCAGAAACATGCTGAGGTCAATTGGTGATTCTAAATTGTCCGTAGGTGTGAATGTGAGTGTGCTTGGTTGTCTGTCTCTAAGTGTAGCCCTGTGATAGACTGGTTACCTGTCCAGGTGAACCTGCCTTCACCCTGAGTCAGCTGGGATAGACTCCAGCCCCCCACCACCCTAAAGAGGATCAAGGTGTAGAGATGATGGATGGATGGATGAAGAACCAGAGAGAGATTTTAACGTTGGACAGAGCCACGCTAGTTGTTTCTCCTTGTCTTTATGCTAAGCTACGCTAACTGTTTCCAGGCTGTAGCTTCATGATAATCTATTTATTCTAATGATGTCAAGCTTCCAGTTAAACTCCTTTCAAAAAAGACAATAAGCATATTTCTAACTGTCCTTTTAGCCACTTTGCTGCGCTCATGGTTGAACTCTGTGCATTGGCAGTAATTTGTGGACCCTCCGATAATGTCTAACCTTTTCCTTCCTGTTTGCTTGTTTGCAGGCATGGCTCCAGAGGTATGGCTACCTCCCTCCTGCAGACCCCAGAATGTCAGTGCTGCGTTCTGCCCGAGTCATGCAGTCTGCTATCGCTGCCATGCAGCGCCGCTACGGCCTAAATGTCACAGGGAGTCTGGACAGCAACACTATAGAGTGAGTCACACACCTTTAAAAAACACCCCTAAAGATGCCACAGTGTGAACCGGTCGCTAATAAAAACAAGACAACACGGGCGGGTGATAGCAAGCAGTCGATTCCAAATACAAACTGTAAATGTGGATTATAGACTTTAAATTGATATTACATCTGTGTGGTTAATTATGGAAATGTCAAAACGTCAGCCAAAAGAGATGCATGCTCCTTCGATACTTTCAGATTTAGCTTTACGCTTGATGTTTATAATCTGAGTTCTCTCAGGGCCTTAGGCGTAGATAGATCTTTTACAAAAAGTAGTTAACGAAAGGCAGCGGGTACGACACGCTGTAAACTGTGTTGTTGTTGCAGCCGTTTGTTGGTTTTGATTAAGATTCACAGTGTTCAGCGTTAAGTGGACGCGACGTGTTCAAAATGGGGCTACAAATGGTCGGTGCCGCTTTCATTCGGGCCCTGTTCTGCATTCTGAAGGCAAGCGGAGCCATTTTGCCAGACACAAAGTTACACTGACATAGATTAAGTGGGGCGTTTTAATTTGATCAAAGGGACCTTTTGCAGAGAGTACACCTCCGATGTCAGATCAAAGGCTGCAGAACGCCTCAGTGTTAAGATTCAGCGGAAGAGAACGAAGAACGGGGACAGCGTTTGGTTTCCATCAGTTAGACCTCAACGTCGCGGCCACGAGCAGACGAGGACGACGCGTCGGTTTGGGATAAAAATCAAAAAGCGATTCAGTCTTATGTTGTATGATGTCCACACACACGAGTGTAGACGGGGATAAAACCCACCTGACGCGTCCATGAATCTTTAAAGAGACGTTTTTAATTATGCATCACGTTAAGAATCATAGTGATAGAGGCAATAGATAATTCATGTTTGAAAAACCAAATATAGCCTGTTTTACCCGGATTAACCTCCGCGCCTCAGCCAGATGTCTTTATACCTGCACATCTCTGAAACAGTGCTCACTGACATTTGTGCCCACCAACAGTGAAATACCATCCGTGCCACAAATAGCAAATGAGCTGAAATTGGCCACTGAACTGTGAGGCGGCGATGTGGTGGCCAGCGATGTGAACGCCGACTAACAGCTGTCCAACCACTGGGCTGAAACACAGTGAAATGTGATAAGCTAACAGTGTGTCTGCTTTTTTTTTTTCCCTCCTCTTCTGCTTCGCTTGGTTGATGTAGCGATAACACGATAAGGTGAGGCGGCTTTTGCGTGTGGAAATGTGTGAATGGAAATACATGAAAATGGCATGTAAGACGTGTGTTTTATCGACTGATGGTTTGTGTGTTTCTTCTGCCAACACTGTGTTTTGATTGCTTATATTCTACATACAAGTGGCTTCACATCAGTTACTTTGCTCTCATCTGTTAAGTCAGAGATACAACGGGTGAGGGGTGATCAAAAAGTTCTGGTACTGAATACATCATCCCACACTGTGTCTGTCAGCAGCCTGGGATGATCCAATGTTTAGGATCATCACTGGTGGGAAGGAGTGGGACTGCGGCTACTGCTAAGAGAAGAAGTTTTCACAGCCCACAATTTCCAAAAACACGCTTGTTGTTATTCTTCAGCATCCATGTGCTTGGTGTGAAATTGTTCCCCAGGGTCAGACTGTCAAGGTAGAGTTCTAATGTGGTGTCAGCAAGCGACCCGAGCTCTGGCGTGGTGGTACGTTGGTGCTCCGATCACAATGTGGTAAATGTGTGCCGGGGGTTTTGTTTTTTTTTAGTTTTTTTTGGGCCACAACACCACCGTGGTCGTTCCCCACCATCCCTGCTCGCTCCCTGTGACTTCTCCCTCTTGCCCAAAGTGAAATCCAAGTTGAAGGGTCACCGTTTTGACACAGTTAAGTAGAGTCATGGTTCACTGCAGATGGTGCTTGACATGTTTGCATAACAGGACTTCCAGGGAGCGGTACAAGCAGGAACGCTGGGAGCGCTGTGTCACGACACAAAGACTCTAATGGGGAAAGTTAAATCAGGTAGAGGTTTTTACAGGGGCAGTCTCAGAACTTTTTGATCACCCCTTGAGCGTCACGAAATGCTGCATATGTATTCAGTGTTGTCCTGTGGCCTCCTCACCTTTGTCCTGCAGGTGGATGAAGAAGCCCAGATGTGGGGTTCCTGACCAGGTAGGAGGAGCGTTCAAATTCAGCGTCAGGAAACGGCGGTACGCCCTCACAGGACAGAGGTGGCAACACAAACATATCACATACAGGTGGGTGGATTTTGATTTACCGAACCAAATTTTTGCAATGTTTTCATTTGGGTCAGTGCCATAGACTGTGTAAAAGATGGACGTAGCTACCGCGACGTCACCCGTTGGTTTCTGCACTGAGAAAATGAAGCCAGGGTTTTATTACTTCCTGGTTGACATCTTGGATTTTTGGAGCCAGTGACGCAAAAGTAGTCGGAGGGGGGCGGAGCCATAGGAGCAGCGATTGGTCAGACGGATTGAGAGGCGGGCCCTCTCTGCCCCGCCCACATTTACCGCCTTCTGCTCACTTCGTCTGTATGGTTGCTGCCGACTGTCAATCAAGCCAGCCACGCCCCTTGCCCCGCAAAATGTTGACGATTTTTTTAAAAATCAGTATTGATTTATTTTCAGATTGGCCACCTGATCTCTGGATTTGACCATGAAAACTAATTTTTAAAAAATCCTGAGCTGTAGGAATGCAGTATTTCATGATCTGTGATCACTTCTTTTCCAATTCCAGTCTATGGGAGCCAGGGCTTTGTGGAGCCAGCAGCGTCCGGGTTGGCTTCATTTTTCAGGGCCGGTCCGTCTTTTATACAGTCTATGGTCAGTGCACCATTTCCTAATAATCCAGCTTCCCTCCGATCCCTGTGACACGCTCAGAAAATCCCAGCAACACATCCCGACTTTCCCCATCAAGGGAGCTTTTGTCAAGTTGACACTCAGTCATCAAGCCAGTAGAGGCCTGCAGCCACAAAGCAGTAACTGATACGTGCACACATTCAGAGAGGCGTGCACACAAACAGGGCTTCAGGACTCCACCGGTGTCGCCGACCTTTTCATCAGGCAGCACGGAGACAACCAGAAATCAGCAGCTGTCGTAGCTCTCATGCACACCTCGCTCGTTTCTCGTCTTGCAGTTTTCAAAATCCACTTAATATTTCCTCTTTGACTGTTAGATCTTTTGATTGCACAGATCCCAGGCTTAAACATGTCCCCCCTTGTTCAGCAAATAAACAAGAGATCAACACAGTATTTTACATAATGGACAAAAAAAATAAAAAGGTCAACTGAAATGTGACGTTAAAGCCGACATCTCATCACACTGGCAGCACAGGCCCGGCTCCTCAAACCCGCCCCGCTGTAGGAGAACCGGCCTTATCCCTCAGGGAACATGAAGTGCAAATGGGAAAACAGTGTTCATGTACATGTCTCTGGTACACACATGTACCAGAGGCCTCGTCGCCAATTTCATAATTCACCAGCCCAGTTCTCTGACATCCAGCTACATGAGTAATAATGTATAGGACAACATGCTGTACTTATATAATATTTCTCTGTAGATTTAGCGAGGCCAGCAGCCCAGATTCTGTAATATTTTATGCGTACTATACTGTCGCTTGCCCCCAGCTCCGTGTTTCATGGATTAATCCTTAAGAACGGAGCTTGTTTTTCATTTTTTGCTCTGCCTCCGGGATAAATGTATAAGCAGCATTACATGCTAAATATAATCTATGGCTCAGTGACCTACAGCTGAAGTAGGACTGTACATCACCGACGGCTGCGCGTTCCTCTTGTGGAAGAATTACACCGCGATCGGCTTTGAAATTAGTTACGTGAGCGCGCGGTTCATCTGCGACGGCTGTGAAAGGAGGCAAACGAGCGGGCTTGATGAAGAGCAGATAGGTGGAAATGAGAGAGGAAGGCGAAGAGTGGAGGGAGGAGAAGCAGCTGCAGAGAGAAAGCCGAGCTGAGAGGAAAGGAGGAAACCCCAGTGGAAGGCAGAGGGTGCTCTCTGACAGATTAGGGTTACGTAATAGGATGGGAGCGTTTTTGAGAGTGTGTGCTCGTGTGTGTGTGCGTACGTATGTGTGTGTGTGTGTGTGGTACATGGATGTGTGCCTGGCCTCCAGTCAGCAGGAAGATGTGCCTGCAGCTGCTCCTTTTATCTCAGATTGGCGCAATGGAGGTGGCTGGAGAATGCAGCATTCATGGAAAGATTCTTATAATCTGCTTAGAAGTTGTTGTTGGAGTTACAACCGTGATGTTACCGAGAATAGAAGATGTGCAGCAGGAACCTGAATAGAATGAAAGTGCAGAAACAAGAAACATCTTCATCGAAATTGTCACTCGTTGTAGCATCTTGTCCTCAAGATGGACCACCATGATGCCACCCACTGGTTTGGGGACTGCCACCATCTTTTAAAAATGGACAGTGGCTCCATCCGTCTCTTACATGCAGTGCTCTGGCCTTGAGTTTTCATTTTTCATATCACTGCAAACTACAGACTGTCAAAACCGCTTTATTTAGAAGTCAAACGAGCCGTCATCCAACTTGGTTTTCTCTTCCACATAGTTTCTAGTAACCCAGGAGTTTGACTTTCCTCATCAACATGCGATAAATGTCAGTCCTCCGATGCAACTCTGTCCTAACATTCTCACATACTGGTCCGAGGTTTTTAACACTCACCACCCGTCACCAGAACCCTTATTAACCATCCTCGGAACATCAGCAATATACAGGAATCTGACTCAACAGAAATTTATTTCCTGCTCTCTTATAACTGCAAAAAAAATTACTCTTGATGTCATGAAAAGGACCAACAGTACCCAATGGCAAGAGAACTGTCTAATACATCACATTTGGAGAAAATAGGATACACGCTGAAAGATAATGCGTCACAATTTCAAACTATCTGGCAACCTTTTGTTGATTTTTTTTACAATCTGTGTCTGTAAACACCCAAAACAACTTTGCACTATATTAAATATTTACATATCTATAGTATGTATGTTCTGTGTTCTATTGTTCTTTGTGTTTTTTCTATATATACAAAATTCTTGAGCTTCACTAAAATGGTAAACGGAGCTCTGTGTGTTGTAAAGTTCGTGCACATAACATTGTTTTGTTGTTGTCTTCCATGAGGACAGTGTGGTGACCGCCATCGCTATGTCTGGCTGCCACACGGTCACACAAGCAGCTAAATGAAAGGTTGTTTTATTTCAGTTTAAAACGCTAAGTTGCAGCGTTACATCACCCAAAATAAGCACATTTAACAGCATCCTTTTTTTAAAAATCACCTTTTTGATGAAGTTTAAAGCCGAGGGATCCTTTCATACGCTGCGTGTATCATGTGCCGTTCTGACACGAGGAAATGCTTCAGTCAAAGGAAACGATTGCAAACGGATGTCTCGTAACTCCCTCTCCTTGAAAAAGCCTCTTGTTTTTCTCTTTCGTGCTTTGAGCTTTTAAAATAATCTTGAAAAACAACGCTGGCATTTGGAGAACATAACAAATGCATGAGCGCCCCAGGTGTGTGCTGGTTTCCATGTAGCCACATACAGTCGTTTCTGTGGGGAGGCACTAATTAGCTTTGGCATCCCCACTGCTCTCCCTGCGTGCAGGTACTATTACGGCACACGAGTCGCATCCAGTATCATTATCACCTCGCCACGTGGAGTTTAATATAACTGATACGGCCTCAGAGCAGACTGGGATGCTTTTCATTTGTTGTTTTGCAGCTTTTCCCTGCGTGCGTCTCTCTCTTCACCCTTAAAATAGGACACAGCACCTCGGGTCACAGGCTCAAGTGAAACCTTCTTTTTCTTCCTCAAGTAGTTGTCGGCGAGGCCTTTCGCACAGGGCAGGACACGTATTCACAGAAAACCAAGGAGGTGCGACGGTGTTTTCTCTCGATTTGAATCTCAGGTGAAGACGTTTGTGCCTCTGCAGACCGTCTGAGCTGATATTGATTGGGAAGAGAGGCTGTTTCCTTGTGTTTATTGTGCTCGTGCTTCTATCTGCTCTCTGCAAGCCCTTCAAAAGACAAAGCTGCCATTTGCGCTGCCTCCATAAGTGGTCTCAATCAGGCAGAGATGGTTTGCTTAGTCAACAGCTAACTATGGCACTAATGCTTCTTCAGCTGATGTTCAAGATAGTTTCTGTGATTTGGGGTTTGCCAGCCTCCCCCCCCGTCTGGAGATGGACGCACTTATCAGCCAGGACGACTGAGGACAGTCTTCAAGCTGTTATTCATCACAATTTGTACCACTTAAGACAAATGTGATCACGTTCAGCAGCAGGCTGTCGAGCTGCGGTTGCTGCTGCTCATAGCTTATGGTCCTGTTGGATACGACGGAGCATTTAGGAGTTAGAGACGCTATGTTTCTCTCAGGAGAGACAGCGTTGGACTGTTTCTCTGCTCAGTGTGTAAATGAGCTTCTGTTCACTGTGTCAGTGGGGTTATGTTGAAAATGTAGTTTACCAGAAAGTGCACATACATGTCCTTAAAAGTAGGTGACAATATTCCATGACTCAAAGTGAGTATTTTATATACGTCGGATTGCTTCACCATCGATTTTATTGTATGAAGGTAGCGTTTACACAATACTTCTATCTTTATCTGTTTTCTCACAGTATGAAGTGGGTGTCAAAGATAGAGAAAAAACAACAACGTCAATCTGCAGCGCCTCACAGAGCCGGGGAGCTCGCTCGCTTACCAAAAGGCTGACGTTCTCAAATGTAAAAGTTGTTTACTCACTACAGGCCTATTTGACTTCAGTGTAAATTCCTGCCACTCTGGCAAATCATGGTTAGAAGTACTGAAAAAATATTTGGAGTGAATTTTGTAGACGATGCCAAATAGACAAATTTTCATGAAATATCACAATTTCGAGCTTTGGTTGAGTTTCTGAGACACATTACAGGACTGTCTAAAAGTTGAAATATCCAACAGTTCTTTCCCTTTTTCTCGTTTCTGGCTGCAGTGGAAGGTGTGATTTTGGCAATTTTTTAAAATGATGACGTGGCTCTCGAACCCGCCGGCAGGTCTGGGGGTTCAGAGAGAAGGTTGAATAAGAAATCCCTTCATGTGATCTACTGATTTAAGAAGCACCTGTAATACCAACTATTTAAACTGTGACTATAGCTAAATGCAGTGTTCTAAATACCAGCTGTTCTATTCTGTGATCATCACAAACAGAAGCCACGTCGGATATCAGCTCCTCTTTATGGTTTGTTTCCGTGGACCTGCCTGTTCACATGAAGTGTTTTCCATTTCCTAGTGATACCTGAGTGTGTGTCTGTGTGTGTGTGTGTGTGTGTGTGTGTGTGTGTGTGTGAATGTGTGTCTGCAGCTCTGTCAAAACAGAAATCATTAGCTGAAAGAGAAAGTTTTACAAAACTTGTGAGAGCGTAATTAAAGCAAACACGTCTCCGCTAAAGTGGCGGTCGGCTGTCAGCGAGTCCGTCTTGAAAGAGCCGACAGAGAAAGAGAAGCGGTGTGTGATTCGGTATTAGCAATTACAACATTTTAAATGAACATTGCAGGTTGTTCAGCAGCAGCAGCAGCAGCAGCAGAGTGCTATTTATATTTCCCAACCAGCCTGTAGGTTTCCCTATTCACCGAGTTTGATTTAATAATGAATCTGAGCTTACACGCGGTATAAATATGCACTATGGATAAATGTGCCTCGCAGCAGCAGACAAAGACAGCCTGATAATGTTTATTCCTATTATGAGAAATGACAGCCTGACAGCCGAACATAGGCGCTAAAGTGAACAAGGCAACAAAGGCGAGGAGGTGACGGAGGGTACACAAAGGACACAGGGTGAATGGGAGGAGGAAACGAGGAAGTCTTGAATAAACTTGAAACACTTGAAGACATGTGAAGGAAAAAAAAAAGAAAAACAAAGAAATTGGCACGGCGCTGTTCTGCTGCACACTTCTCTTATTAACTGAACTTCAGCCAACCACCTTCATACCCAAACCCAGACGCTGAACCACCACCAGCAGCAGCGTAATAAGACCCAGTGTGTTTACAAGAGTCTAAGTTGGATGATGTAAGCGACACCTATCTACCTCTCCCCGGAGACAAACCCCGTTTTAATAGAGCGTGACACTGAGATATTTCCAGAGCGAATAAAGTGGGAGAGGTTTTCCTGATTGCCCGAACCAGACCGGGGCTCTCAGCAGGCAGTGGGCTGTTGATAATCCTTAATTAGAAAATAAATTCCAGAGGCAGGAAATTGTCCCGTCCTCTCCACACCTGCAGCAACTCGAAGCCGGCAGGGGAGGACTCAGCTGTTCCCCCTCGCAAATCGCTCCATTTAGCTCTCTGTCGGCGAACAGGATGAGCGTGAAATGGCAGCATGCAGGGAAAACACTGATAGTTGAGGGGTGGTTTTTTTTTGGGATCATGTAGATTGACATGCAGAAGGAGTCTCTGTCCTAAACTTCCCATTGTTCTCTATCCCGTCACATCTCATGCTTCACAGGAGTTTACTTTCCCTGATTAGGTTCTATTCTTCATTTTTTCCTCCGAGTGGACATCCAGCAGAATAAGCCACTCTTCGGTGTGCTTGTTTTACCAAACGCTCGGAGCGCCCGAGAGTCTTATCAGGCCAATTTACAATGGATTTGCTCATCCTGACAGCTGAAGGAGAAATCCCGATCTGAGGCTTACTGGGGCGTGATGATAAGAGAAAATTATCTGCTTGTGTGAAATGTTTACAAAGACTTCGAGTGTTTTCCCGCTCTAACTTTCCTCCTCCGCCGCGTCTCGTGTCTCCGCAGCATAAAGAACGTGACGCCCAAAGTGGGCGCCGAGGAGACCCACGACGCCATCCGGCGAGCCTTCGACGTCTGGCAAAACGTGACGCCGCTGCGCTTCGAGGCCGTGCCCTACAGCGAGCTGGAGAGGACCAAGAAGGACGTGGACATCACCATCATCTTCGCTTCAGGTTTCCACGGCGACAGCTCGCCCTTCGACGGCGAGGGGGGCTTCCTGGCTCACGCCTACTTTCCAGGGCCGGGGATCGGAGGCGACACGCACTTTGACTCGGATGAGCCGTGGACGCTGGGCAACCCCAACCATGACGGTAGGCAGTGGTTCATGAAAGATCACTCAAGAATCAGGCAACTCATCTAGAATGGCTTCATATATATTTGAAGGTATTTATTAGGTATTTGAAGATAAAAACGAGGTTTTCCTGGTATGTCTGCTGCTGTCCATCTGCACCATTAGCCAGCTGCATACATGCGTGTCTCCCCGTCTGCTGATGCATTTGTCTTAACAAACCGTGAGTCTGCGTTATTCTACGTCATCCCACTCAGCTGCTGCTGAGTCGCTTGATTAGCAGGTAAACAGCACAAGTTGTGATTGTCTCGTTGCAATCACCCTAATTAAGCAAACGCTGCCACAAAGTTCAGGATTATATTCTGCAGATTAGCCGAAGCAACCGGCAAACTATTCAAACCGGCATAGTTTCTTTATCAAGCTTTGCATTTCTGCTGCCATCACGAGTACGGGAGGAGGCCGTAGTAGCATCACCTGCTCTTTATTTCTTCTCTGTGGCAGCAACGCACAGACATAACAACTGTTTTGCTTATGGAGTCACGTCATGGCTGATAGAAGTCACCCTCATAGCAACGCTTTCCTGTGTGAGAGAGACTCACTTCACACAACAAACCCACTAGTGTGCGTCGTCACCGCCTTCCTTAAAGGAGATGTGCAGCCAGACTGTGGCTGTTCTAACCTCAGTAGTAAAAATAAGTAGTAGCACGGTTTGTTTACCTTGATGGACGGAGATGGGAAGTGTACAGATCTTACACCACGCTGGAAAAGTCCTGCATTGAAAGTTCTGCCTGAAGTAAAAGTATCTTGGTGTAATCAGAAAAATGCAGCGTGGTAGTAAAAGTAATAGTACACAATAATACTATAATACAGGATATTGCATCCATATATTGTTAGTACCTCTGTAGTAATGTAGAAGTAGGCTTTTGTTTTTTTTTATATTTCTGTTTAAATAATCTCAGCAGACCACTTAAAATGTTTTTCAGAACGTTCAGCTACATCTTAAAGTTTTCTTCGGCGAGTTAAACTGACTCAGTATTCGTGTTTCATTACATTTATTATCGTTACTGAAACTGAGCGTGTGATTTGTTGCTCATCGTTGGGAGGTGATTTTCGTGGTCCAGCCGTAGAACCAGATCTTTGCAACACCACGACTCTGACAAACATGGAAGTGGAGGATATTTTGTGCGTGATGCCTGCTGGACGTCGGTCGGTGTTCTGCTGATTTCTGGTCCGCTCTGGTGTGATTTAAGTCTGATTTGCTGAGACTCGCTCAGTCCTCTCTCTCTCTCTCAAAGCAGATATCTCCCTTGCTGAACTACAGTAATCATATCACCTCTCGCTCCACGCTGACCTCCAGTCCGTGCCCTAGCCGAGTACTTGCCCTCAGAGCCTTGCAGCTTGTCAGGCTGCCTTTAGCGGGGTCTGTATGTCATTCTGCTGTGTGGGTTGCATGTTGAGCAGCTGTGTTGCTGTCTTGCGTTGAGAAGAGATCCGCCCGATCTCTGCTCGTGTGTTTGCATGTTTGTGAATCAGCGGCAGCGAGCGGCCGGCTGACTAAGCTCCCAGGTCGACCTCCGAACCCGGCGCATCCTTCAGTGAGCGTAAAGAGGCAGAGGAAGGGACGGGAAATGAGATGCAATGTAAGCAAAGGTAAATAAGAGTCAAAGATAAATGACTTGGGGGCTGATTCCAAACTTGTCTTGGAGATTGTAAAACAAGGACGATTTCAGCTTCTCCTCATTAAATCTAACAGCGATCCTGCCCTGCAGTCCGCGGAGAGAGAACTCAAGAGGAGTCATGACTGTGACTGAGTCATGAGTCAAAGCAATGACAGAGGAGACAAGGAGATGCTCTTAAGAAACAGGGACACCAACGTAAGGCGGAAAACAGATGAGTTTACGAGCAGGAAGGCAGCGGAGATAACAGTGAAAGAGAGGATAAGAGAGAATGGCAGAGTATCTCTAGACAAATATTGGAGGTTCAAGAGCTCACAAGAGAGACAGACGGAGAGGGAAAGACTGAAAGAGCAGCATAGCGAGGAGTAAAGAAAACATTTGAAGAGGAAAGGGGAGAGAGGAGAGCAGAGGAGATGAGTGGGAGCTGTTGAGCACTGTGCGTCGGAAATAGAAGTGAGGAGCTCGCTGCTGCCGAAGACTGAATTTTAAGCAGGAGCGGAGGGCCGTTTGTAGGCTTCAGATAAGGCTTCTGCACGGTTTGATCGAACCGACAAGAATCAGTCCTGCAACTTTAACATCACAACTGACGGGATAACCGTTACCTCCAGCACGTGATGGATACGTGCCAACACATACATGTGCGGGTGAAGCGCCGGCGTTGTCGTGGGGGAAGGAGAAGCAGCTGTCATTGAAGGCTATGATTCACTCCCTTCAACACACTCTCTTCTACCCCTTAATGCAATATTAATACAGCCCTGCTGCGGCCCACACTTCTGTAAAAACATCCCGTGATGCATGCAGTTCTATTACCCTCACTCCAGCTGGCTTTCTGGCCAAATGTGAACACGCTCCGGCTGAATCCTGACTGCCCGCCGCGGAGTCGGGGGTCGCTCCTCTTCCTGCATGATGGCCAGCGTTACACCGAAGATGAGTTTCTGAAGACAGATTACGGCCGCTTGTTACCAGTATTTTGTGCTGAGATAGAGTTCTTATGCCAAAAACTACTACAAATATCAGGTACTCTGTATTCCTGCCAGATTGTTGTGTGTTTTTTTTTTTTGTGTCTTGGCACGAGAGCCGAACTTCTGAGGCAGTGTGTAGCTTTTGGCAGACTGAGACTTAAAACTTGTAAAATAATAGCACTGCAAGTAATAACAGCAGCGTTACTACCAACAATCAAACCTGCTTCAGTGCAGCAGCTGAAACCAGTGTAGGAGTGATCAGTTGAATATATTATGAAACAATCTCTTATGATACAATATTGACTCTCTGGCTGCAGTTTCTGTGAGTCAGAAACGCTTTCTTTTCATCTCATGAGCAGATTTAAAGTCTGATATCTCTTGCGCTGACAGTCGAGCCGTTTGCCAGTTTAGAGCTCTTTGGTGTTACTGTATACGTTATAAAAACTAATTTACTGAATGTTTAAGAGCAATACTAAAGCCAGAACCTGATTATAATTCAAATCTAATGACGGAACTGTTTACACAAATGCATTACAGATGATTTCATGATCAAGAAATGTCTGAGCAAAGATCCATCCATCATCTATACACCGTTTAATCCTCACTGGGGTCATGGGGGGCTGGAGTCTATCCCAGCTGACTCAGGGTGAAGGCAGGTTCACCTGGACAGGTAACCAGTCTATCACAGGGCTACACTTAGAGACAGACAACCAAGCACACTCACATTCACACCTACGGACAATTTACAATCACCAATTAACCTCAGCATGTTTCTGGACTGTGGGAGGAAGCCGGAGAACCCGGAGAGAACCCACGCTGCACGGGGAGAACATGGAGACTCCACGCAGAAAGATCCCGGGTGTCCTCACCGGGACGCGAACCGGCGACCTTCCAGCTGCGAGGCAACAATGCTACCAATCGAGCCACCTTGCAGCCCCCCAGCTACACATGCAGTCATTTAAACTGCAGCGTTTTCATTCGACTGGGACGCCACTGGCCGGCCAGTATCAGGTTCTTGATGCAGAGTCGTTCATCAGCCCAACAGAAAGGCAGCAGCCTGTGACTACAGATATAATATGAAGCAGGAGTGTTTTGCATCCAGATAGTGAATGGTTACAGAACGCTCAGTACCACATTAGTAATAAAGGCAGAAATGACGAATACAGGCGCTCTGAGCTCTATGAGGCTGGAGGCTCACTGGATGCCAAAAATCCTTCACAATGGTTTATAATGTTATGAAACTAGAACTGACCACTCTGGGAAGTTATCATAATGTGCTCTGGACTGGCCGGTGCATCACCTTCCAGACATGGCATTGTGACTAAGCACGAGTCAGACCATCTCTTTAATGGAGCCGATGCTCAAATGAACGGCGTTGCTGCATTTTATTTAGTTTTTCAGTCTCCCTGCTGACAGAAGCGACGCCTACTAGATTATGATTTCCCTTAAACCTGTGAGTCTGAACAGGATTGATGAAATAGATTTAAACAAACACGTGTCCTTTGTTTTTGCCTAAACATAATCATCATTTGATTCCAATCAGCCCTTTTTTTTTTTTTCTCCACATCTCCAAAATCCAATAATTTAATAAATACACGCACGTAGATGTTCATTTTAATCTGGATGCAGTCGGAGCAGAGATGGATAATTCCATATATTTCCAGTACATGTTGTTTCGGGGATTTGTAATCCATCTCCCATCAATCTCCTCTCCCGTTCCACATCCACGCTTTGTGAGGAACAGCTGGGAATGATGTAATTTTAGCTCAGAGCGGCACATGATGTCTGGCGTTTTCTTTTTCCTTTCTTTCTTCTTTGAGTCTCCCTTTTTTTTTTTTTTTATTGTGTTTTAAAGTTACAGCGGCAGACACACACACACACACAGGAGATGAGCTGCCGTCCGGTAAGCTGCCCGTGCCTGTCATACCTAATCCCCCCGTACACTGTTGTCGAGGAGGATCAGTCGTCACGGCGACTGTTGCCAGCATCGCACCATAGATGTTATTGTTGTTGTTTTGGATGATGACATCACTGATGCACACTGGAGGATTAGTCCCCGTCTGCATGGAGATAAACACTCGCATACACGTGTTTTAAGTCCTCACACACACACTTGGTCGCTCGCGCACACACACACACACACACACACACACACACACACACACACACAATGTCTGCACCTTCTCTCACGCTGCTGCGACTCAGGCATTTGAGGATAGAGGATTACTCAAAAGTTAAATTCGGTGGGTTTTTTCGCACACACTGCAGAATGATGTACTTATTAGGATTAGCTAATGGCATTCGGAGAGACTTGGACGTACAGTATACAGCAGCTGCTTTCTGTATGTGTGGGAAACCACAGTAGCATCAAGATCAAGCAAATA